ATAACATAAATTATCCAGATCTATTCAAAATGTCCATGCATCACTCAGAGTATCAAGGCTGTACTGTCCTTTATTTGTTTTATTTTCTAAGCAATCACTTTCCCCTTGCAGACATTTGTTAGTGAAATGGGTTTATGACCTGATTTTTCAAAGATGCTGAGTGCTTGTGGCCTGCATTGATTTCAACAGGAGTTGTGAGTGCTCAGTACCTTCGGGGAAGAAATAAGCTATTAATATTTAATTGCCACTTACCAGCATTTTAAAGCTATTTTCAATCCCCTTTTCAATTATGTTAATCAGAAAGTCAAAGCATTAACATAATCACACATCGAATCTGAGCAACAAAGTTCTGGAATATTGTAATCTGGCAACAATGCATGGCACTGTTAATTCTAAAGCTGTGCACTTTCATGATTAAGTTGAAAATCCCTGTATGCTTTGGCACAATCCCAGGTATGCTTACAAAGATTTTCTGTAAAACTCCTGTAAAAAGCAACAGAGGGTCCTGTGGCACCTTTAAGACTAACAGATGTCTTGGAGCATAAGCTTTCATGAAAGCCCACTTTGTCACCCACGAAAGCTTATGCTCCAATACATCTGTTAGTCTTAAAGGTGCCACAGGACCCTCTGTTGCTTTTTACAGATCCAGACTAACATGGCTACCCCTCTGATGTAAAACTCCTGTTGCTTTTACCCAGGGTTTTTTGCAATGGTAACATAGTGACAGCCCTGATCCTGCAAGCGCTTACCGATGTACTTCACGCGCGTAAAGTTAAATAGCCCCATTGAAATCAATAGGCCTATGCACAGTAGAATTCTGTACATAAATGTTTGCAGGATTAGGACCTTGCTTTGTACTGCATAAACATGCTTCAATCAGTACAAGTACTTAGTAGAAGACCCCATCTGGCACTTCAATGGGAGCTTTGCCTGTGTAAAGACTGCAATATCAGGATCACTATTTGTAAGCAAAACCAGGGCCGGCTCCAGGGTTTTGGCTGCCCCAAGCAGCCAAAATAAATAAATAAATAAATAAATAAAAGCCGCGAGCTGCGGCGGCAATTTGGCGGGAGGTCCTTTGCTCCCAGCGGGAGTGAGGGACCGTCCGCCGAATTGCCGCCGAATACCTGGACGTGCCGCCCCTCTCCAGAGCGGCCGCCCCAAGCACCTGCTTGCCAGGCTGGTGCCTGGAGCCGGCCCTGAGCAAAACCATTGTAAAAATATGCTGAAAGAGGATTTCAGTGATTTGCGAGCATACGTATGACATGAAGGCATAAGTGTGAAATTTCAAAGTATTTTTATTTCTTGCTAGTCTCAGCTGCTGGGAGGACATTGGCACAAACTTCTCTGAATAAGGATGTAGTTATTGACCTCAAGGGGACTATATGAATAAGGATAACATAATCAAGCTCTTAGAAAAACTCTTGTTACATTTACAACTAGATAGAAAGGCTTAAAAATATAATTTCAAAAAATGTGGAGATGATTTATATGTAGAAAAGATATTTTAGGGATAAAATCCATGCAGAAAAAATGTGGATATTTTATTTAAATTTAAATTTAAATTATCAACATTTCAAATATTCAAAAAATTTCAACTAATCTATGAGCTGGTCAAAACCCAGCAATACTAGTTTACAGAAATTTTTTGACCAGCTGTAATTTCAACTCCCTCAGGTATAAATCTCCTATGCACCAGTCTTCCCTTAGACACATAGATCTAATTTCTGTGTGCTTGTGCACAGAATTTCTAAATGAGAGTTGCAACTGTGTATCTAAGGGGACATTTACTTTGCAAGCGGAGGCAATATTGGTGCTCAGGTAGGTATATTCCTGCTAGCTTTAAACTAGCTAGCTTAGCAGGCTGATTCCAGGTGGGTTTGTACAGCCTGTGCCAGAATATTTTTTTTAGCCATGCTAGCTAGATTAAAGCTAGAGCAGGTATGCCTACCTGAGCTACAATCACACCCCCAACTGCAGTGTAGACATATACCCTAAGGCAGAATCGGGCCCTTAGAGTTAAAATCTAATTTCTACCCAAATTCCACATCCTCATTGACACTATACAGTTCTGAAAAGAAGCCATTTCCCTTACTTGACCCAAAAAACTTCCATTGCCAAGTAACAAAGATGTGAAATGTCCCTTCTCTCATTTCCATCATGGCTAAACCTCTGCACAGAACAGCCTGATTTAACACTGATGACGCACAGCAACTCATTCCAGCAATAAATCAAAATAGTTGCGTAAAATAAATGATTTTTTCATCAGTTAAAGCCAAGACACTTTAATTAAAAAGACAAACCAGTATGACATTTCACTGCAACCTCCTCACACCCCACACCCCCTGAAATTACTGTGGCATTATTTTTCTTGATGCTTTTAATCCAGTTTAAAAAAGAGAGAGAATGTACTCAGCTACCCCAGTGTAAATCTGGAGTAACTCTTCAGTGGAGTTACTCTGGATTTACACCGGGGTAAGCACGCTGAGAATCTGGCATGCTGCCAATAGGAATGTTAATTTTAAAAATCATTGCGTAACATTGCTTTCCCTTAGTTTCCTTTCCAAGGGATTGTTTGGTCTGGAGTGCCACCTGCAGGTTGCTAGGCATGTAACCTCATGTGCTTTCAGTGTTCTTTACTGAATGAGTTATAAATAGGGCCCTACCAATTTCACAGTCCATTTTGGTCAATTTCATGATCATAGGATTTTAAAAATAGTAAATTTCATGATTTCAGCTATTTAAATCTGAAATTTCATGGTGTTGTAATTGTAGGGGTCCTGCCCCGAAAATGAGTTGTGTGTGGAGGGGGGGAGGTCACAAGGTTATTGTAGAGGGGCGGTTGCAGTACTGCTACTCTTACTTCTGTGCTGCTGCTGATAGTGTCACTGCCTTCAGAACTAGGCAGCTGGAGAGTGGCGGCTGCTGGGTGGGAGCCCAGCTCTGAAGGCAGAGCCGTCGCCAGCAGCAGCGCAGAAGTAAGGATGGCATGGGGTATGGTATTGCCGCCCTTACTTCTGCACTGCTGCCTGCTGAGCTGGGCCCTCAGTCAGCAGCCGCCACTCTCCGGCATCCCAGCTCCGAAGGCAGCAGCGCAGAAGCAAGGATGGCATGGTATGGTACTGCCAGCCTTACTTCTGTGCTGCTGCTGGCAGGGCGCTGCCTTCAGAGCTGGGTGCCCGGCCAACAGCAGCCACTCTCCGGCCGTCCAGCTCTGAAGGCAGTGCAGAAGTAAGGGTGGCAATACTGCGACACCCCTAAAATAACCTTGCGACCCCCCTGCAACTCCCTTTTGGGTCAGGACCCCCAATTGGAGAAACGCTGGTCTTTGTGAAATCTGTATGGTATAGGGTAAAAGCACACAAAAGACCAGATTTCACAGGGGGAGACCAGATTTCACGGTCCGTGATGCTTTTTCATGGCCGTGAATTTGGTAGGGCCCTAGTTATGAATGAGCTGTTCTTACATGAGGCTGGATAAGAGCTTGATCCTGAGATGTACTGACCACCTGCAACTCAGCATGCAACTCCCACCTCAATGGGAGTTGGGGCTGCGCAGTATCTCTCAGGATCAGGAATCTAATTACAGCCCAGAACTGAATGTTAATTTCCCAGGAGATAATGTAAATTGCAAGCTGCACAGGCTAGTCTTGGATGCAGTGCTGGACTTTCTAGCACACAGAGTGAGCACATCTCTGTGTGCTTAGGTGGGGTAGCATTCATTCCCCTTTGTAGCCAGCAAGCTTTGCTGGTCAATGTAGAGATGGGGATGCACCTGGTCTCTTCTCTACCTCTTTTAGATGCTGTGGTGGGGGAGGAAGGGGAAGCAGTCCTCAGGCCCAGGAGAGAACATGGACTGTCAGGGTGAGGGGGCAGGATGATGGTTATGTCACCCCTGCTTTGTGCAACTCTATACAGTTGTTTTGAGACCATTTAATATAGAAGACTCCTGCATCTCCTCTAGGGTCAATGGCAAAGCACTGAAATGGAGCCAGTCCTCCTTTCAGGCTGCTCGCAGATTGTGGTGTTCCTCCATCTCCAGAGAGCTCAGCTGTGGCATCCTACAAAGATCAATTCTCTCCCCAGCCTTTAAAGTATAGGTGAAACCATTAGGGGAACTGTGTGTTGCCATGGTCTTAAATGGCAGCAGGTGGCACCTACCTCTACATCTCCTTTACTCCCCAACACAGAGAGCACCAGCTCCAAATTGTCCCTTTGCCTTGCTGAAATCCCATCACCTCACCTTCTATTGAGGGTGGCTAGCTCTCACTTGCCAAATTGGTCCCCACCTTTTGAGTGCGTTTGGGCTGCCCCCTGCTGCTGGAGTCTGAAATAGCTGCAACTACAGAAAAATGCCTTTCCACTGAAGTCTGGCTAGAGCATTGTGCCCTGTTGTATTTGGGTGGTGACTCTGCTACAGTGATCCATACTTTCGGGATCTTCAAGCTGGATTGCTAAAGCCCTCTTCACCTTGGTCTGAGCACTCCAACCTTAAACAGCTAAAATTAGTTCAGAAAACAGCCATCCTCTTCGCATTGTCTCAGTGCTCTGCATTGTACTCCCATTCCCTGGTCAAACCAAAGTCTTCATCCTTGCCTTCAAGCCCCTCTATAGAACTGATTCTAGATACCTTAACAAATGCTCCCTCTCTCAAGATGATGATGATCTTCCTGGGCAACTACATTCTTCAGGAACTAGGCATCTGTTAAACTCAAGGGTGAAGCTTGTAAGAACGGGAGACCAGGTTTTCTGGGCAACAGAACCTTGGAACTTATCACTGAAAGAGATCAGAATGACTACCAGTGCCTCCAGAGCAGAGTGTAAAACCTTCTTCTTTGTGTTGGTGTTCCCCAAGAAACAACTAAATCAGACAAAGTGAGAGGAGAAGAGAAAGAGGAGAGAGGTGGTAGTAGTAAAAGGAAGGAAAAGGGAAAAAGCAAATTAAAAAATGGAAAATTGCATCCATTTCCACAGAAGTAGGGAGAAAAATTAGAACAGAGGTTTTCATCATCTTGGTTTTTACTTTCAGTGATGAGGTCAGACATTCAGGTGATGGGGAGTGTGATTAAAAACCCTAGCTAGATAAACGGAACACAAGGGACTGCTGCCATCTAGTGCAATGATTACTTTGAAATTAAAAATATAATATTATCTTGCATCTGGCAAGATCTTGTGACCAATCTTAGATAAGTTAGGGTTTCTTTTCTGGTAGTGACCCTGTTCCCTCTGAAGTTAATGCCATTTTCTTTGATGGGCGCATGATTGGACCCTGTGATCTAAACAGCACATGTTTATATCCACTCTAATCTGATCACTCCAAATATTAAGAGGATTTCCCCAGAAGATTATTTTTAAGCACAAGGTCCACCTTTGCTCATGAAAAAATGCCATGCAAGACGGTGATATCAGGATAGGATTTGATGCTTTGTAAAGTCATTACTGTGAGACTCTAAAAAGATTGTTAGCTTGAATCCTGCCACATATCTTGTTAGGGATATTTTCTTTCTAACACTAGGAGGGCTGGAACTCATGCTCAAGTTTCTTCTTTTGTCTTCCACGGCTGAGGAAGTAATCCATGTTTACTAGAGTTTTGCCAATTTCAGTGTTCATTCTACTGCCGATAGTCTGGTTGGTGGTGTTGGGAATTTTGTCTGAGAACACAGGCATATACTCGGGCAGTTGCTCCTGCTCCTTTTTCTTACCCTGGAAAAAATAAATGGGAAGACACTTGCTTAAGATTATGCATAAATTTTCAACAGCCTCTAATTCCCATTTTCAAAAATGAAATTGAAAGTCAATGAGACCTAAGATCCTAAGTCACTCAGATATTTTGAAAAATTTTACCTGACATTTTATATACTGAATTTATGTGAAAATGCTCTGTAGAGACAGTAAACTTAATCATTATCAAGCTAACTGAAATTGGTGACACCCCATCAGCGTCCAAGAAGACACCGCTTAATTTGCTGTTGAAAAGTGGTATACCATCTTATTCACCAAGGGTCAGCAGTCTTTAAAGAAGCAGCATCCAAGAAGTTATCCCTTTGAACCAATCAAAGAACAGTCTGAGCACATGGTAATTTAACGCACCAACTTTCATCAGGATGCAGAGTTTCAGATTGGCTGGTTGAATCATACATTTTTAAAAATTTTTGCAGTCATTTGGTATTTTAAAATATAAATGGTTTGGTCCTGTGTCCTTACACAGGCAAATGTTCAGTTACTCCAAGGAGGAGTTTTGCCTGAGTAAGAGCTGCAGGATTGGATTCAAAGTCATTGGTGTACATTCTTGTGATAAGATAACACTCCCCCTCTTAGAATATAGGCACCTGGAGGGGAAATTCTGCTTCAAGCAAGGACCTGATACTGCTCCCATTCATAGAATCATAGAATATCAGGGTTCGAAGGGACCTCAGGAGGTCATCTAGTCTAACCCCCTGCTCAAAGCAGGACCAATTCCCAACTAAATTATCCCAGCCAGGGCTTTGTCAAGCCGGGCCTTAAAAACCTCTAAGGAAGGAGACTTCACCACCTCCCTAGGTAACGCATTCCAGTGCTTCACCACCCACCTAGTGAAATAGTGTTTCCTAATATCCAACCTAGACCTCCCCCACTGCAACTTGAGACCATTGCTCCTTGTTCTGTCATCTGCCACCACTGAGAACAGCCGAGCTCCATCCTCTTTGGAACCCCCCCTCAGGTAGTTGAAAGCAGCTATCAAATCCCCCCTCATTCTTCTCTTCTGGAGACTAAACAATCCCAGTTCCCTCAGCCTCTCCTCAGAAGTCATGTGCTCCAGACCCCTAATCATTTTTGTTGCCCTCTGCTGGACTCTTTCCAATTTTTCCACAGTGAATGTGAATTTTATCATTGGGAGCATGACTTCCCATGCAAACCCATTGACTTCAACAGCATTATGGGCTGTCAGTCAGGACCACTGTGGTGGTAGTGATGGCAAGAACATAAAATGGAAGATATCCTCCCCCCGCTCCCCAAGTCATCAAGTCCAGTATCCTGCTATTATAGGCAACCACATCATATAATCCCATTTATAAACTTGTCGAGCAAGATGATGATGGGTTTTTAAAAACAAATGACTCAGATTCTATTGTGCTGACAATATTTCTTAAATTCCTTCCTAGGCTGATTCTTCAAGCACTCTTTTAAAATGTCAGTCCTTTTACGGCATTTGTACTTTAATCAAAACTGAGGTGAAATACACACACAGTGCATTCCATCTGCTTAGAACGAGAATAGCAGATGAGTGGCACTTCAGATTCCTTGGGCATATTTTCCTGCAGTTTTTAATCTTAAACAATTTGACAAATTACTTTCAAGGATGGCTCAATTTAGAATATTAGCCTACTAGAAATCCTGTTGTAAACCAAAAAGAGCCTGGATTACAGTTGGTAAATTTATGTGCAACCTACCATTGGATCATAGTCCTTCATGAAACCCCAATTCTGGTACCTTGGAAAAGAAAAAAAAAGATTTTAACTTAAATGACTCATTCCTGTTCTGTACTTTAGTTTCATAAGTTTTCTATGATTTAAAATAAACCTGATTCAGTATCATAGAATAAAGCTGCAAAAGACAAAGAATAGTGAATCCAAATGATCCATTAATTTTAGGTTTCTTTTCTTTTTACAAGAGAAAATGAGCAGGCTCAGCCCCTGATTAAGAGATTATTTTGATCTATTTTAAATGTATAAATATTTGTAATGACTATAGATGTCCCTTTGAGCAGAGGTGGGTATTAATGGAAGACCCCCATCACAACTGGGATCACACTGTGCTAGGCAGTATACAAACACATAGTAAGACACAGTCCCTGTAACAAATAATAAATTAAAGGTTTTCACTCACATTTTCTCAGGACAAACTCTTTCCTCTCAGAAGAAGTAGTCAGATAATTACAATAGTGATTTTGCCTTTTACTATAGACCAGGGTTTTGTGGGTTGCTACTGTACCGATCTCTCTCTTTCTCTCTCCAGATAATTTTTACCTCAATTTTGTGACTAGAATATCTTGGTACAGTCAGACTTTATTTTAGAACCAAGCTGTACATTCTTCTCAGAATGAATCCAGCTCTGAATTTGAACACAACTGGGCCACAAGTTGTTAATTCATGTTCTTATATCATGCTCATCACTGTGGCATCTGAACAATTAGAATCACACACACACAGTGGATACACAGAATGGTTTCACATGGTGCAGACATGTTGATCTGCTCTTAGCAGGAGCTGCAAACATCTTCATTTACCAAATTGACTAAAAGTTCAAGAGTGTCAGCTCCAAAACATGTGGATGAGCTCTTGTGTTCCAAAGACATCTGCGTTATGGTTGCTGGCAAGGGATCCCTTGCCAGCAATCTCTCCTATCATGCCAATAATAGATGCTGCTCTGATGTCTGTCTTTGCACACTTTTTCTCACAATGAAAATTCCATTCCCAGCAACCCACAACCCAGAGATCAGCTAGTGTAGATTAAAAGTTATTACTAACAATACCCAAACTTTGACATAGAGTAATCCCCAAGCTTAGCCAGAATTCTAGGTATTCTACCCTCATTTTTCTAGTTAATAGCCATGTTAATAGAAAGAAATTCCTCCTAACAAGAACAAACATAGTGATATTCTGTTTGGTTTTCACAGTGCTACAGGCTGTCTACTTTAAAAATAATAGGGAGGCAGAAGCACCTGAAGTATGTGCTCTCCTTAGAAAAGTAACTCAATAAAGAGAAGTTTGTTTGCTGACCTGCCACTGTTGTGTCTGCCATTTGAGAGTCTATTTAAGTTTCAAATTCGACGTTTACAATCCATCCATTTCCTGCTGCTCAGGCTAGTTTAATAGGACAACAGTTTCTTACAGTCATAAAGCTCTCTGTGCTTAACACCTCCCTCCCGCAATGACCACATGGCTTTCTTTGTTGTCATGCTAAGCTTTATTTGCAGGTAGGGGAGCTGCCACCCGCTACAGTGTTTTGTACAAATGGACAAACTGGAAGCTGTGGCATGACGCAGGATTATGAGTCAGGAAACCTGAGTCCTATTCCTGGCTCTGCCACTAATTTGCTTTGTGAGTTTGGGCAAATCCCTTCACTTTCCCCATCTGTAAAATGGGGCTAATGACAGTATAGCCATCTTTGTGAAGTGCTTTGGTATCTGTGGAGAGAAGGTGCTATCTAAGGGCTTGCCTTCCTGGTGAGTTACTGCACGGCAAACCACGGTGTAAATCTACAGCTCACTAGCTTGCTGTGCAGTAACTCATCATGTGGACACTGCTACTGTGGTGTGAAAGTCCTGCAGTGCAGCTTAGCATAGAATAATAATTAATTGGCATTGTATTTATTATTATATATTTTCATATCTCAGTAGTGTCTAGAGGCCCCAGCCAAGATCAGGGTCCCATTGTGCTAGGCATTGTACAAACATATCAGATCTGGATAATACTATATTTGTATTCTGAAGTACTAGTAATCAAGGAATGCCTGGGCTTCATCATATGAAAATCAGCCCATTGGTCCCATTCCCTTACACCCACTTTCATTCCTAGGCTACCAGAATGGAGAGGACGTCTCCCATCCCAAACTCTGTGTGGGGATGTGGAGCTGCTGGTGAGCTTTGTTCCTGTCAGCTGGAGGCTGAGTTAAAGAGGCAAAGACAGAAGTTAAAAATATGTCCCTGAGGAAAGAAGCAATCACAGCTAGGATTGGTGCCATCTGCTGGTGGGAGAAGAGGAGCTACCAAAAGATCTTCTCTTCCCTTCTTCCCACTGAATCCAAGGAAAGGTCATGGTAGCTGATCACCTACTTATTACCTTGCTTCCCTAGTGTCTGGCTGGATGAGGCTGGCATACAATCAGAACTCAAGCTAACCTTGCTTTTACCAAAGATATTCTTCTAGCGGGCATGCTTATGTTGTAAATTGGAGAATGACCACAAATGGGTGGGCGTGGGTGGGTGGGGGCGTGTGTGTGTGTGAGAGAGAGAGAGAGAGAGAGATCTTAATGCCTGGTTCCATCAGCTCAGCTGTGTATATATCCAGTCAAAGCATAATTTATGCCCTGGGCATGCTGTACACCCTGCTGATATATTAGTAGCAATGGGATTTTCCCTGTGTGTGTGTGTGTGTGTGTGTGTGTGTGTGTCTATATGTGCAGGGTTAGGGGCACTCAAGAGATTTGCAGGGTTGAAGTACAAATAAGTTTTTGGCAGAACACTCTGTCCAATCTCTACTTCAGCCACTTCCAAGAATTTGAGAACAGGCAATAATATCAGCATCTGTGCAATCAATTACAGATGCTGTCACATTTGTATCTTCACAGTGTGGACATCCATATACAGCTGAGCAGTATTAAGCCTGGGGTTCTTTAGTGTCTCTGTTTCCGTTCAAGCATGACTTGCCAGGAGATATGCTCCAATAAAGTATTGCAAAAAAGAGGAGAACAGAGATGGTGTTTACTCTCAGCAGTGGCAGGATTAGGGCCTGATCCAAAGTCCATTTAGTGGAAGTCTTTCCATTGACTTAATGGGTTTTGGATCAGGCCCTCAGGGTATGTCCGCACTGAGCGTAGGTGTGATTTCCAGCTCAAGTCGACATACCCACACTAGCTCAAGTAAGTGCACTAAATATAGAGTTCAGCCACAGCAGTGCAAATGTCAGGCTGGGCTAGCTACCCTGAGTGTGATCCCATCTGAGACCCTAGGTACATACTCGCATGGCTGGCCCCTCCTGCCACTCATACCATCACAGCTAGACTTCTGTCTTTATCATGCTAGTTTGATCAGAGCTAGGGCAGGCATATCTACTCGAGCTGGAAATTGCCCCTTCCAGCTACAGTGTAGATATATCCTATGTCTCTGAGCAGTGGCAGTGTTAAGATGAGGACGTGAAATTGGAATTGAGGTACTTACCAATATTTTCTTCCCCTCCACTCAGCATCCATAAACTCCCTCCAGATCTTGTCCTGCCGAACCGGGTCCCTCTGCAGTGCTGCCTGCTCCTCCTCCTGGGCCCGGGCTGCCTGTTGTGCTAAGACCCGACTGGCAGGCAGAGCTTTCCCATGCTGGGTGGTGCTGAGAGAAGGAGATGAGGATGAGGCGAGTTTCACCAAAGGTCTGGCTGCTGGTAACCGGTACCCGGCGGAGGTGGTTCTCCTGAATCCAGTTGATCTGCTTCCCATCTGTGTCTCCCCTGTGACGCGTTATGTTGTCACCACTAGGAAGGCTAAGAAGAGATGCTCTCCAAGATCCTCCAATTCCACAGCTCTCTCTCCTGCATCCCTTTCTCTCCTAGCACTTTCTTTCAGGATTTGGCAAGGAATCTGCACTAAGAACCCAACCTCCAACAGGCGACCTATGTGCTCTTTTGTTTCCCCTTTACTTAAAACCAACTTATACTAGGCAGCTGGTTTGTGTTGCCCCATTGGGTGACTACTAAGAGAAGCTTCACTGTAATAATCTTAAAAAGAACAATCCTTACCAAAGGCTAAAGATACCGGCTGTAGCCAGCAAGACCTAATTCTCAGCTTCTGAGACACCAGCTACTGCTGTGTGCAGGCGAGACGACTTGACGTTGATCTCAAAGTCCCCAGAACAGCGGCTGTGTTAGTAGCAAAGCCTGGTGTAAAGTGTGCTGCCGAGTTTGCCAGGGTTAGTTTTATTCTGTGTGTACAACCGAAACAGAACCCCCTGATAGTTGCTGGCTTCCCCAGTGTGTTTACTGTCTCCATTGGAAACCAGGCTGGCTCATGAATATTTATCCCAGAGGAAGTGGAAACCAATGCAGACAGCTGCTGGGGACTTGGCTTTGAACTCTCATCAGGAGGGAATTTCTGTTTGTTTAGAATAAGGTCTTTCCAGGGATCAATGTTAGTTTCACACTTTGAAAGCCTCTTAATTTCTGTCCGGACTAAGAAAACTCCCATGGAAAACTCCTGCAGGCCTGAACAATCAAAAATTGGTTGAAGAGGAGAGACCTTTAATTGCATACTGCTCTCTGGACAAGGAGCTGACCATCTGCTAAAAGTCCCTGGGTCCACTGTGACAGACTAATACATCCAGCTGGGGGCTGAACAGTAAAACTGTCCTCCAGCCTCATCTTCCTTATAAGTGCCACTGAACTGAAAAAAGAGCCATTTCCCAGTCCACCCTGCTACTTTGCTGGATTCCTCCTCAGGGTCTGCTCAGTGACTTGCATCCCAGATTGCTCTTCAGGGTACAGTACATGTGGCTGATTAGCCATATGAGGTGATATTGCCATGTGGTGGCATTTACAAGCAAGCTGAAGCAGGAGGCTATTTTTAACTTTGAGCCTAAGGTCCAATGTGTTTATCAGTCAGTGCACTCCAGAGTTCAATTCCTGGTAGATCAGCAGTGGGGTCTCTGAGGGAAGGGAGGGATCTATATCTCTATTTAGATCTGAATCTATATGTAAACTTGAGTCTAATGTACCAATAGGCCTTTTTTTGGGGTGGGGGGGAACTGTGTCTGGGACATTTTTAAAAAGGGACACTGTAAGTGGCAGAAACTCTGGTTAGGAGTTTGCTGTATGTAGTTTGTTCCGCAGGCCTGTGTTTATGTAATGGAAGCATCCAGAACTCTCAGGTAGAGTTTTAATGATGTTCTTGATTTACAATGGTGATACAAACTGTAAACTTTTATTTGAAAAAATCATATCATTTCATTCTTTCTAAGCATGTGTATAATTTGCTTTTTTCTCTAAGAAAATAATGTTTTTCGGTGGGGAAAAAATCTCAGATGTTTAGATATTAATTTTACTTGACCACAAGAGGAGGTTGTAGTTTAAGCTATGCAAAACTTGACTGGATGGCTGAGGATAACATGCATTGCTTTTTAAAAAAACATTATTTTAAACTATGTAATTTCTCCAAAATCTAAACTATTTAAACTATACAATAGTTAGAAAAATCAGACTGTGTAAGTCAATATCAACCGTATTTTTTCTTATCTGGAACCAACTTCTGCTTTGCCTTTGGTGGAAATTATTTTAGTTGGTAAATTTGTTGCTAGAACTCCCATCCCAATCCCATAATAAGCTCCATGAGGCGCAGGGGTAAGCCTGTGTTACTCTCATTGAAGGATCAGGATTACGAGTCTTGTCCTTAAACACTGTATTGTGGTTTTATTGTTTCATGGAAATGGTTTGGAAAATTCAGAGAATGCATTTTCAACTATCAGCAGAGAATTTTGTCTTTGGAGTTGGGGAGGGAGGGAAGACTGTGATGAAGTCAACATAGTAGAAAAGTCTGTGTGTATTGGTACATGGCAGAAAATATCGCTGTTTCCTTCAAGACTAAGGCACTCTGGTTCTGCCCATGGGATTTGGTTTCAGAATGAAGGGTCTGGAATTCTTTCCAATGTGTTTGTTTTCAGAAGTCTCTTTTATATTTATGTTTCCATACATTGCAGAATGTTACAGTAACATGCAGTGTTATTTTCCTCTCCCCCAACTCACTAATGTGTTGGGATTTTTTTCCCTATATAAATAGAGACTTTTTTTTTATATTGCATTAAATATGCATTCTTCTAAACTCTCAGGATTGTCACATGTTTGCTGTGGTGTTTTGTGAAGGTGAGAGCAGAGGAGTGGGGTGGGGTTGCCAACCCTCCAGGATTGGCCGGGAGTCTCCCGGAATCAGCATCTATCTCCTGCTGACTATTGAAAGCAATCTGGGAGATTTTAATAGGATCAGTCAGAGTTGGCAACCCTAGAGTGGGGGATAGGAAGAAGTCTGTGTTCTTCCATTCTTGGGCCTGTCACTGAATTGCAATGTAGCCGTGGTCAGGCATGTCATGTAATCTTTCTTTGCCTTTTATATTGTATACAGCACTGTGCACAAACTGTCATTAAAATTATAGGTGAGAAAACTACAAAAAGGCCATTTAAAGTGTTTGTCGACTTGCTAGGAAGATTGCCATAGATATTCCATGGTTTAGGTTGAGATTCATAGAATTTAAGGCCTGAAGGGATCATTATGATCATCTCCTCTGGCCTCCTGTATAACACAGGCCAGAGAGTTTGAGGAGAGAGCATTACCGAGTAGAGTTGTGGCACTTGAAGGAGAAAGCCATCCATCCTATCACCATTTTGAGATTATATCTGGGGAGACTAGGCCTTCGGTCATCACTGCTCTTAATTACCATAGTGGGGCATAAATTAAGATACAGTTTATTAGGTCCCATGTTACTAAAAGAGATTATATATAAAATCTTGAAGTATACTTGTGAGATAACAGGCAGCAGGTGCAGTTTGCAACATACTGGCCTCAAAAACTCTTGTAGACAAAGTATCAGAGAGGTGGCCGTGTTAGTCTGTATCCACAAAAACAATGAGGAGTCCGGTGGCACATTAAAGACTAACAGATTTATTTGGGCATAAGCTTTCATGGGTAAAATACCTCACTTCTTTAGCATCTGAAGAAGTGGGTTTTTTACCCACAAAAGCTTATGCCCAAATAAATCTGTTAGTCTTTAAAGTGCTACCGGACTCCTTGTTGTTCTTGTAGACAAAGGTCCTAGAGCAGTTGTGCTGCTGTGTTCTTCTGTGGCTGAAATTTATGAGTAGTTTTCAGTTGGAGTCCCAGATAAAGCACATTGCAATAATCCAGCCAAGAGCCAGGAAGGCATAGGGTGTGAATAGACAGCCATACTAGGCCTTTATTATTTTGTATTTGATGTTTATAATTGCTTAAGGAATATTCTCATCGCTAGAGGGAGCTTTAGCACTTAGATGAGAGTACAACATTGCTTTATCTTATTTTATCTTTCCATTTCCCCCTGCACAATTGGTCTAAATAATTCCAAGAGAACTTCATTAGTTACTGGGATAACATGACCAATTATTTATGAAAGGACTATGCTTGATATCAATGTAATAGGAATCTACAGTAAGGCAGCAATCTCATCTATACCCACAAATACAAGGAGCCATTATTAGCAGGCAGGTCTTTTAATTACACCATATTCAGAGAGGGATAGCAGCTTTGTTAGTAGTATGTTAGATAGTATGTTGCATTGTGGATTATGATTTTTCAGAGCCTATTTTAATTTTCAAGATGCCTTTTCACTCTCTTTCCAACTGTTATCCATTAGTTATTTGTAATCTAAAGTATTCAAGAGCATTTTCCTTGAACAGCATCTAAGAAGGTTTCCATTTGCCATCTCCTCACCATATTCAGAGAGGGATAGCAGCTTTGCTTTCTTCTCATAATTGCTTTTCTGCATCTGTTTGAGTGCTTGGTTGCCTAATAGAGTCACTGTAGCTTAGGGTGACCAGATGTCCCAATATTTGGGGCTTTTTCTTATATAGGTGCCTATTACCCTCCACACTCTGTCTCTATTTTTCATACTTGCTATCTGGGCACCCTACTGTAGCTCATCTTAAATAAAATAAGGTCAGAGTTTACAAACTTGAGTGCCCAAAGTTCATCACCTAAGTGCATATTTAGGCACCTAAATAAAAGTGGCCTGATTTTCAAAGGTGCTCAGCATGTGCAGCTTCCATTGACTGAAACTCAAACTGCTTCTGTTGAGGCCCCCAAATATGGATCTAAGAGCCTAAAATTAGGCACCCAGGTTTGAAAATTTTGACCACAAGTTTTACTTGTTGTAGCAAAACATTTTTAATGCTTTAATTGTAGTTGTCTGATAGGTGGCTTAGACATCATTTACCTTTTAAAAATAGAAACTCTATTACTAAATCCCCATGCTTCAGGTAGCAATACAAAAATGAAAGAAAAACAGCTGAGGCCCTCATGAATCCCAAGACATGTGGCAGCAGCAGTCAAACAAAATTGGATCAGCAGCATTTGTTAGCATTTAAAATTTATCAGACTGGACTCTGCTTGTGACAGATGGCTTTGTAAATATCTTTGTAAATATCTTTTTATGGTTTTACTGAAGACACTGATTCAAAGCTTGTCTGCAATGATGGGCAGTACTCCAGCTCCCAGGCAACGGGGCTCTGGGTTCAGGAGGCTCTGTCTCAGAATGCTCAGGTCAGATGGGAATGGACTCTCCGGAATGCTGAGGCCAGTTTAATAAGCTTCCAAAATAGCAGTAGACAGTCGTTATAGGAATAATAACGGAGTTGCATTACTAAGATAAAATTACACAGGCTCCTAGCAACTGATCGCTAGATGGGGCAATATTGCACTATTAGGTAGGTGCATTAGAGGGATTTTACACCTTCTTCTGAATATCTGACATTGGCCACTGTCAGATACAAGGTACTAGACTAGATGGACCACTAGCCTTTTCTGGTAGGACAGTTCCTATGCCTCCATATGTCAGAAGGGAGAGGCTGTAAGCTGCAATAGTCTATCTACACTTGGAGCTGGGTGTGTGATTCCCGGCTCAAGGAAACGTACTCATGCTAGCAGGAGCGCCACCAGCTTTTCTGCCGCCCTAGGCAGTGGAAGGTCCCGCCCCGAAATGCCGGCCCCCACAGAGGCAGCGGAAGGTCCCGCCGCCGAAATACCGCCGCAGTCGCCGCCCCCCAAATTGTAGGGTCACCTAATGGGTTGTGCCGGCCCTGCATGCTAGTTCTGATTAAGCCAGCACACTAAAAATAGAGTGTAGCTGGGCCAGCACAAGTAACGGGAGGGGCCAGCTGCCCCAAGTACTTATGTAGCATCTCAGAGAGTATGTACTTGGGAGGGGCCAGCTCATCCTGCTACTCGCGCTGCTGTGGGTATACTCTAAT